TTCCATGTCATGCTGCTGGAGATGCCAGGTCTCTGCTTCATCACAGTGGGCATTAAGATGCATGACTGTCTGGCTCACTTGGCTTCTGGGAAAGTCTCGTGGAAAGGATCCCATCTCATTTGTTTGCCAGGTTTCAGACTCAGCTCTGCAGTGGCAGAGGAAAATGTCCTGGGCCACTGACTGTCAAATTACCATTTGACAGAGTTCTACTACTTTTATTCCCTGGTAGAAGCTCTCAGACAGTGCATTTCTGCCCTTCTTTTCAGTATCCCTCTGCTAACGTGGGAGGGAGGGCAGGCTGTGGATGTGAATGAGAGGAGCAGGAAGAAGACTGTTAATTTCCAAGAGCTTACTTTACTTGGGTGGTACATAGCCTCCTTAAAGGCTAGTATTGTCCCTCTAACTCACTTTCCATTAGGGAGTGAGCACTTTGATTTACAATATATATTCATTCTAGTAGCAAAAGGAAAATAAATCTTTGTCCTGTTTTTTCTCCTCCCCTCTCCCCTTCTGCAGAGACCCCCCCCCCACATCTACTAGGGAGCTTCATATCCCCACTCTCACAAGAATACTAAGGCAATGCCTCCCAGGACTGACTCTTCCCTTGGACTCTTCTCCTGTCCTGCTCTTCCCATCCCAGAGAGCAGAATGGAAGTGGCCCCAGGAAAGCTCCTGCCTCAGTGTACAGTAGTTTTCTGTGAGGTTCTCTTACATGTTAATAAGCATTGGGCTCCTAGTTTATGACTGTATTTACAGTGCTGGGAGGAAAAAGTCAGTAAACCCTCAGTGCTTGGCTCAGTTATTTGATGATCTGAGGTTTTTTTTTTTTGTTGTTGTTGTTGGTTTTGTTTGTTTGCTTGTTTTTGTATATTTTATTTTGGCCTGAAATTTTAAAAATGCTTGGGTACAATTTTCTGCAAGGCAGAGGTTTTGGAAAGCTGGCACTATTATGTATGTTGTGCCCCAGCCACAAGGATCCCCAAAGAGACCAGGGAGACAGACCACTGATACAAATGCATAAGGTTTATTACATTGTTTATCCTACACGGAGGGAGGGACCTCAGTGTAGCAAGCTCACGCAGCAGCCTCCAGAGGGGGTGAAGTTCCCTGTGTACTGTTGGGCTTTAAAGGCAAAAGTTACAGGATTACATCAGTAGGTATGGGTTGGTTTTTGATTGGTTGACATTTGGGGAACAATTAAGAAATTTCTCAAAGTTTTATTTTGGCATATTTTGAAATACCTGTGTATCAGGTATTCTCATTGGTCAGTGCTGAGATGGAACATTCTGTGTTTGTCTTGTAACTTGTAGGTGGCCTGTTGTTCATAGATACCAATAGTTTTCAGAACTGTATCCTGGAGACTATCAGGCAGGTTTTGGTCTCCCCTGGAGTTTCTTTTGTGGCCAAACAGTTCCCAGGAACCAAGTACCTAGGAGGTGTGTGTGTGTGTGTGGGGGGGGGGGTCTGGAGTTTCTTTGTGTTTAGTTTTGACCCTAGGCTCCAGAAGGCCAGAGGGTCTGGAGTTTCCTTGTGTCAGAGGCCTACATGTCTTTTCTGTAGCCTGTCATGGCTGCTAAAGCAGGGGCCTGAGTGAGGGTCTGGTCCCTTTATTTTTAAATTATTAGAAGTGGAGCCTTTGAGTTTAGTTTTCCCCTTTCAATGTAACACAACATAATTTCGAAGCTCTGTTTTAGGTCTATTCAGATAAGCACAGTCAGCTGTAAAGTTGTTTTTCTTGTGCTTGGAATCTATATAATTATATCCCACTTGCATTATAAAAGCTATTATTGAAGATGAAGAAGCTGTTTTTTTCTTTCTTATCTCCTTTGTTTTATACTGAGTGCTTAAGTTAGATCCAATGCTTGGAAACTGGTATAAGAGGTTTCCTGAGACAGGGAATCAAATTACAAGAAAGAAATTGATTTTTTAATACCCATGCTTATTCAGTGATGCATACTGCCCCCTTGTGGCCATCAGTCAAGACCTTAAAGCGTCTTCTAACCCTATATAGTGAGTGCAACACTCAACATTTTCAATGATACAAATGTGCTTCTATGTTCCCATAATTTGTAAGTTTTAAGTTTCATTTTTGGGGGCACTGATATTGAAGCCAGGGTCATGTGAATGCTGGACAAGCACTCCAGTACTGAAGGCCATTTCCATTCTAAGCTTGGCTTTTGATATAATTTCAGTATTTCAGGGAGATGGGGAACTTTCATGAGACGGTTTACAGGAAGGTGTGTGAAAGCCCGAATGTGATGGCTGATTGCAATGGCACAGATTCATCCCACATTTCCTCTTTCTTATCTAGTGTTAGATTACGAAGAGCTCCTGTTTGGGAGGCTGGTGAAATTTGATGGTAGTTAGAGAAATACATCATAAGTTCCTACCCCTTTAAAATTGAATATAAATAAAAGACAGCAATGCCATAGCCCCATGGAGAGAGAGATGCTTCTTTTGAGATAGGGTCTCACTGTGTTATCTTGGCCAGCTGGGAACTCAGAGAGATCCTCCCACCCCTGCCTTCTGAGTGTTGGAATTAAAAGCTGTGTCACCATGCCTGGCAGTGAAAGACATCTTATGGCTTGGAAGGCCATGCTCTCAGATTCAACACTTTTTGCTTTCTGTATGCTGGTGTTCATTTATGTCTTGGGTCTGACTTCATGTTAGGGTATGGTGGGGATATAGCAGGCATACGATATTAGGTTTGATTCAGTACTAAAAATCAAATCAAATCAAAACAAAACAAACCCCTTTTGCCATATTCCTTCCCTCCACCCTGACTTTTTGGCCTCCTTGACATGAGATCTGTTATGTAGTCTAGTGAGTTATGTAAACTCACAATCCATCTGCCTCAGCTTCCTGGGTACTGGGATTACAGGTGTGGGCAATGACTCTTGACTTTTCACCTATTTTCTTGGTTTCCTTTAGAAATGTTTGAGCAAGTTTTAAATTTTTAAATCTTTGACCCCATTTTTGTCGGCAAGATTATACACATTAGTTGTGATTAGGAAAATGAGTATTTTAACTTTCTGAAATAGATTTTCACATGATAAATTACTTTAATTGCTTATGCTAGTCTACTTTCCCAATTGGCCCCTCTTGCTGATTCCAGTTAATAATTCATGACACTTTGTGCACTGGGCTTCTTCCCAGTGAAGATAAAGGTGCCATGAGCTCCTGAAGACACCAGTGGCGGCCACTTCATCTTCTTCCATGGATCCTTCTCTCTGTTTTTCTAAGTACATTTCATCCCTTAGAAACATCACATAGACAGCACTGGTTCACTGTCAAGTTGTTTTTCATTCAGTCAGCAATTCATTCTTTAGCAAATGAAGTCAATGACAACTAGTGTACAGATGGGTCTCAGACTGGAGAGAGCCTTTATGGACAAAGTCTTCCTTAAGCCTTTATGATTGGCATTGCTGGGGGAGAGTTTGAGGAACTGAGGGAAGGTAGTAAGCACCTACTGATGAGATGAAGGCAAGGATCCCAGAGGAAGTGGTAGCATGATAGAGTCAAGGACAACTGGAGTGGCAGGTGAAGGAGCTGATGGTAAGGATGATTGGGATGTTCAGGTAGAGGTAGCAGTGTCTGTAAATACTTGGAGCCAAGAAAGAGATGTTTGGGGAGTGTCTCAGTCCATCTAGGCT